TTTTTTTTTTAAGATTTTATTTATTTTTGAGAGAGAGAGAGTGTACAAGCCGGGGAAGCAGCAGGCAGAGGGAGAGGGAGAAGCAGACTCCCTGCTCAGCAGGGAGCCCGATGCGGGGCTCGATCCCAGGACCCTGTGATCATGACTCAAGCTGAAGGCAGACGCTTAACCGTCTGAGCCACCCAGGCACCCCGGAAAGTCTCTCTTTCAATGTTCAGTTCATTGCTCACTGATTGGTTCAGCGGCCCACGAACCTAGCTCGGTGCTGAATTGAATGCTTGTCTAGGGCAGGCTTTCAGTGAGGACTATGGGTCCTTTTAGGCAAGCCTTTGACAGCTCAGACTGAGTGCTTGTATAACTAGTGCTTTGTGAAACAGTCCCGTCTCCTTGTGGGTGATATCCACCACTTTCGGTAACAGCAAGATCAGCACATTCTCATCTGACACCAACATGGGTCTGATGACCCCAGCAATGATTTTCCAAGATCCCACCAAATAGTTCCAAGAGGTGGTTGTGGTGAAAGGTGGGGAAGGGAGGAAGGCGTTTCAGAGGTGATGAAGTGGGATGGAAGTAGATTAAGAAAACCTCTGTGAACTCATCTAGAAAAGAAAGAGTGACCCTTCCCCCACCTCCTCCTCATGGCTGCTAGAGCAAAAGATGATGAGAGATCCCCCACACCACTGTGATAGATACCAATGGCAGAAAGGGGCACAGGGGATTGGTCTGTGGCATGGATTATTTAACTTCAAAAGCACTGGATTTACATAATTTTATCTTGTATTTGTCCAAGGGCAGGTCATTACAAAGACTTCACCAGAACTACACAGCTGTCATTCTACTCAGAGCCAGATCCCCAGTCTCACAACACTCAAATACAAGGTTACCTGAGCACTGCACGGGGCTCATTAAGAGCAAAGTGATCCTACCAAGGATATAATCTGCAAGAATCTAATACAGTTTTTTTTTTGGGGGGGGGTAGGAGGTGGAGGGGAGGGATACAGAATTTTAATTTTGAATTCCCTATCAATTAGAACAATAACAAACATGTTCCTTTGTTACAATTATCTTCCGTGCCCTAACGATAACCCTACATGGATTCACTTGGAAAAAGATAATCAAGAAAAAAGTGTTTCTCCAGCCCTCTGCTATAATTCAATTTATTTTTCTTACTTTAAAATAGCAGATTTACTACGAGCAGATGTTTTCCGTCCAGACCCTGATCTTGTCAGGGGAGGCGAGTTGTTAAATTAGAGGCACAGCTGACTCTCCCGATTCCCACATAGGCCACGCGAGTGGTGGCTGGCATTGGGGCCCTGTCCCCACTGCCTCTGCTGGGCTAGGACCCTGCAGCTGGTCTGTAGGTAACTGTTGTCTTTCCAGCACAAGGTGACTTCGCCAGCAGTGAGCCAGGGCTGGGGCAGCTCCTACGTCCTTCTTTGTTCAGAATCAAACGCTTATGCTCCACATTTACTTATTCATTAACAAATATTTATTGAGCCACCACCAAGAGAGCACCATGATTAACAAGCATGAGTTTCACGGACTCACTACTAGGACTCAGTGCCCCCTCCGCCACTTCTGAGCTCTGTGACCTTGGCAGATGATTAACTCCTGAAGCCTGAGTCTCTTCTACGTAAAGAGGGATAGTAGTAAGTTCCTGTCTTGGAAGATTTGGGGAGGATCATTGGAGGTAAGGTTCATAAGGTGCTCCGCCCCTTGTGAGAATGCGTAGCTATTTTACTGGGCACGCTGGGCTGGATGGGCAGTAAGCAGAAGACAAGTGAGTTCTAATCCCATCAGGCAGGCCCTGTAATGTTCCCTGTCACTCTCAGATAATAAAGAGTGCTCTGATCAGTTTTGGTGCCAACAAGAGTCTCCTTTCAGAAATTCACACATTTCTTCAAGTATAATAATCAAATTTCGGGGCTTGGTTTAATTCAGAGCTGCTGTCCACTCAGCTTGCCCCGGTCAGGAAGACCGGGTGGGAGCAGGGAGAGTAGCGGCCTCCTTCCCCCTGTCTTCCTGGCTCCATTTCCTACCCACTCATTAGCTGTGATGTCGGACTTCTCCAAGGGAAGGGCCAGGACCCACAGCAGGGAGAGCCTGGATCTAGTGCTGAGGCTCTGTGCTTGGCAGAGGTCCAAAGCTGCCTCTCTCATTGCTCCCTGGCAGGTTATCCAGCCACCGCCCGTCCCGCTTGCATTCTCAGGCCTGTGTCATACACCCCTCCTTCCAGGATTATTGTCAGGCTCTGTCAGTATTTCTCCTAAATCCTTTCTCACTTGGCTGGTGATGAGAAGGAAGCGCATTTCTCTCCCCTCCTGCTGAGGAAGGACACAGCCCAGCTCTCCAACCACAAACCACGCAGGCCTGGGGCAGGGGGCAGGGTGCAGAAGGCAGAGGGCAGAGGGCTGGCCCTCAGTTTCAATGGGTTTTTGATAATTTTGCTGCCTCCCTTTCCCTTTCTTCTAGTGCCCTGGCTGCTACTGAGCGAGATTTTTCCTGGTGGAATTAGAGGACGAGCCATGGCTTTAACTTCTAGCATGAACTGGGGCATCAATCTCCTCATCTCTCTGACATTTTTGACTGTGACTGGTAAGGACTCATTGTTTTCCTCTAACACCTTTTGTGCTCTTAGGACAAATGTGAGGGAAGCACACTCACCTAAAGATCATTTTACTGTGAACGTGTTCAAAACATTCAAAAGTAAAAAGAAGGTACCTGATGTACCGACCACCCAATTTAATCATTCTTAATTCCTTTTTAACCCCACCTGCTCTTTCCCCAAATGATTTTGAGTCACATCCCAAACGTGATGTCATTTTGTCTATAAAATTTCCACATGGACCTCTAAAAGATAAGACATTTAAAAACTCTTCCTGTAATATCATGATCAAGCCTAAAAATGTTAATAGTAATCCCTTGGTATCAAATATCCAGTCTGTCTTCCCATTCTTCCAATTGTCTGATAATTATTTTTTTATACTTTGCTTGAATCACGATCCAAAAACATAACTCACAGTTGATTGACATGTCTCTTATAATTTGTAGGTTGCATCTTCATTTCTCCCTCTTCCTCCCCATCTTTATATTTTTAATGAAGAAGTGGGGTTCTCTGTTTCATAGGGTTTTTCCCATGCTGGGTTTTGCTGATTATAGTCCTATCACATGACCTTCTGTCCTTTGTGTTTCCAGTGAACTGCTATTTAGGTCTAGAGGCTTGAGCAGATTTAGATTTTTTCATTTGTTTGTTTGTAAACTCCTTCACAGATGATGGCGTACATCCTGCCACAAATGTGCATCCTGTCTGTCTCCCACTTTGTCATGTAGGCTTCTGTGAGGATCATCGCCCAGATCCGTTATTTGCATTCCATCATTCCTTCTAAATTTGGATCATAGCTTCTACTTCTCTAAGGAGAAATTTCTTTTCCTTAGTTATTTGCCTGCCCTGAAGTATGAATCAAAGAAAAAAGGCAAGAGAAATGCTTGAAACTTTCTCTTTATTTTCTAGTTTCCCAAGTAATGAGGTAGTTCCCCAGCACCCTCCAAAATTGACCAATGAGCTCTTTCCTTTCTTTGCTCTTTCCTTCATACATGTATATGATATAAATATTAAATAATACATACAATATATAAATTTGGAAAAGTGGACATATACTCAAAAAGGTATATATCTATAGCACTTCTGAGTCTTATCAACCACTTTTTTTTTTTTTTGAGTACATCTACTTCTGGAAATTAACTTTTGGAGTTATTAATTAAGCATGGTTTGGGTTTTTACATAACATTTTAAATGTTTATATCCCATATTTTTAGAAACGGACCAAGATTGAAAAAAACAAAGGCACTGGTCATTAGCACCAACCATACCTATCCTACTTAGATCACATGCATAGACCTGTGACTTTTACCTTCACACACGCACACACACACACACACACACACCCCTTTATCTGCTCTTTGATGTGGAAAAGAGAAATATAAAAGAAAAAAATGGGGTGAGCACAGCATAATGTATAAACTTGATCAATCACTATGTCGTATACCTGAAACGAACGTAACATTGTGTGTCAACTATACTTAACATTTTTTTTTTAATTAAAAAGCAGAAGAAAGAGTGGAAATGATCAGGGGTGGGAAAAGAGGACACAAATCTCTGGGAAGGATGGCTAACGTATAGGATGAGCTAATGCACATTCAGAAGTTCTCCTGCACTTAGAACAAATGCTGGGAAAGCATTTTCACTTAAAAATCCTGGAATGAACCTGTAGATGACATTCCATTGGGCTAAGCTTGAAATTCCGTACAGGTTTCTCCCACTATTTGAAACTAGAACGTCTCTAAGAAACCTTTCATGAGCCAAGATGGCATGAAGGAGAAAAGCAGCTACACTTCCTGAGGGCAAAAATCCTCTTTGGATTTCAGAAAAGCCAAGTGGCATAACGCAAACTTGCCCAACGCAGGGAAGTACTTACTTTCAAAATCTGTACTTACTTTCAAAAATCAATTTTCCAAGTAGAAGACGTAACGGTTCTGCTTGGCAGCAAGCCCTTGGACACCAGCCTTTTTCAGTGCAACTTCAGCAGATCAATAAAAGCAGAGTGTTCTGGGGAAACCAGCTCACTGGGCAGTGGTCATGATGCGGCCGCATTACGCTCAGCTCTGAGTCAAGTATGTTAAGAGGATTGTTTGGATCTTTTCAGAGCGTTGCCGTGTGTCCATCGTGGGAGGGCACCCGGATGGGCATGGGACCTGTGGTCTGCGCGGAACGGTTGCAAGAGTTCAGGGTGTTTGGCTGCGGCGACAAGGTGGTTAATATGCTTAGATCTTTCCACGCTGCATCCACCACACTGCCTCACTACGGAACCGCTCGGTCAGTTCTCCTGGCTGACCAGTGGGGACTGGTGGCTGCTGCCGTGAAGGGCTGTGTGCATGGTTTCTGGCTGCCGTCAGTCTGAGCCTGCGTTTGTGAAGAGCCAGCTTCTTCCCCGCTGCTCCCCGCCGGGCTGGACTTCCCGCTCCCGAGCTGAGCCCCGCCGGGCTGGACTTGCCGCTCCCGAGCTGAGCCCCGCCGGGCTGGACTTGCTGCTCCCCAGCTGAACCCCCCAGGGCTGGACTTCCTGCTCCTGAGCCGCGGGCAGCACAATGCACATGGCAGGCTCCAGTGCATTGGGGGCCATCTCTTGCCACTTCATGTGCCTTGACCTGGGTCAGGAACTGCTAGAAGTGGCCCTACGCTGGCCGGCGAGATCCAGCAGTGCCTGAGGGTGTGGCTTCTTGATGATGACTCTTAGCAAGCGAAGGCCTTTCCAGAGAACTGTTAGCACTTTTTTCCTCTGAATCCAGGAGGAAGCATTACAAACACGCTGCCCACTACTAAAAGGAAATAGGGCCGACATGAAATGATTTATTTGAATAATCAGGGTAAAGAAGGGTGAGTCATTTCAAGAAAAGTGCATCTGTGTCAGTGACTTTAAAAATGTCCACCAAATAGAAACCAAAGTGCTACAGCCATGACTCCCGAGGGGGCCCTGTGAGGATGAGGAACCAGAGGAAATATTTTACCTTCTGCTTTCTATGCTTCTGTGTCATTTGAGGTCCTTTTATTTTTATTTTATTTTATTTTATTTTACTTTATTTTGCAATGAGGATGTATATTACCATTTCGAAAAAAGAAAGCATGCTCATGAAGAAGATGGCATTGGGTTTACATTGTGATAGTCACAAGGCTTTCACAGAGAAAGCTGAGGTAGTCTGTAAAAAGGAAACTTACAGAGGTTGGCTATATTTTTAATTTGTGGTTGCCATTTCCCAGGATCCTACCAGCATGTTTGAAAATACACACGTTTTTATATATGCCCCAAGAATCAGCTGTCCACACAATGGGGTCAAAGCAACACAAAACACATTTTTAATCGGTCTCTTTTGTCCTTTGTAGATCTCATTGGCTTGCCGTGGGTGTGCTTTATATATGCAATCATGAGCCTAGCATCCCTGGTTTTTGTTGTTGTGTTTATACCCGAGACAAAGGGATGCTCTTTGGAACAAATATCAGTGGAGCTGGCAAAAGCGTAAGTATTATGTGCATGTTGTCCCAACAATGCTCTGGTCAAAAAACTGCAGTTTTATAATTCAACCGAATAATGATCCAATATCTGAAATTATTTCAGGATATTCCCTTTGGCGTGAAACTGTATCTCAAAACATAATTTCAGTTTTTATGCCATGTGATGAACCTTGGTGACTAAGCTAAGGAATTAGAACAACCAGTGCTTTCTAACAGGTGAATCTTGCAAAGCTTTTTTCAGTAATGTTCAAAGAACCCCTCTCATCTCTCTGGGTCCCCTGCGCAGGAGGGCTTTTTTGTTTGGGGTTTCAGGTAAGTCTTGGAATGTCATGCTCAGCCTGTGCCAGAACCATGGGCCTCCTTCCTCTCTCACCGTGTAGGTCGTCCTTAAGCCCTAACCACCTATGAAGGCTCAGATGATCAGGAACACCCTTGGGTTTAAATGACTGCAATTATTCCAAATATGGCACAATCAAAATGAGTTTCAGAAAGATAAAGAGTTTCTCCTGTGGATAGCAGCTAGAAAGTTGGTTAAATACATTTCACGGAGAGAGATTGTTTAAGCAGCTTAATTTTGATGTGGGCTGTAGAAAACTCTTTCCTTTTGGTAACAGAACTCAGAGCTCTACGTGCTGATGAACTGCGGGGAAGGAGGTGATGCGCAGGGGCCCGGAATGAAGCAGAATTTGTTCTTCTTCCTAAGATTAATTCATTATACTTGAACGTGTAGGGAGGGATACTTGTTCTTGCATTTTAATGGGAGGGTGCTCCTTATTTACAGTTTGTGAATTTCTTCTAAAAACACTTTCAATGGGCCAGAGAGAAATGATTGCTGCAGGAACTATGGGCACAGTGATTCTTCGGCATGGGAAGAATAAACCTGTGAGGTGATTTGATGGTCGCTATATGTGGACATATTTATTTATACTAGGATTTGGAAAACTTCCACTTTGTATTTTATACACTTAGAAGTGGTTTGCATTTTTTAAATATTTCACTTTAGCAAGCAGAAAGACTTTTCTCTTAATTCAAACTGTGAGTTAAATATCAAGTTGTAGGGTTAATTTTTAATATAGATAAGGCCCTGTTTTTAAAAAATACAATGAAAATGAAAGTCATTCATTTATGAGGAAGTATAATTGTCAGGAAGGTGACTGGACCCTTGGGCTGATCAGCACATTGCCTGGCTCTATGCAAGTTAAAGCCAACTGACTTGGTTTCTCAGAAAGCACAGAATCTGAACAAGACTATTAATTACTGATACATGATTCAAATAACTAAGAGCCTCAGACCTTGGTAACTCCATGCATTCATCTGGAGACTTGACTCAGATCAGGGCCTTTTCCAGGACTAAGATGCCAGGACACTAAAGACTTCCAAATCTGCTGTCCAGTCTTCATTTCTCATTCTGCCCTACTATGCGTGTTTCCCATCAGTTGCCTGTTTAGGGGTAACACACCATCCCCACACGTCCTGGTTTAAAATACATGACTTCCCATTTCCCAGGATGCTTTGGTTTGCCTGGGTGGTGCTCCTGCTCATTCCGCCTGGGCGCCTTCATGGGTCTAAATCAGCAGGAGGGTCAGTCAGTCTGGACGGTGTAAGAGAGCCTCACCCGCGTGGATGAGAGTGGGTGCTGACTCGGTGGGGCACTTCTGTTGTTCTCCACGGGGTCTCGGCCTCCAGCAGGCTAACATGGCTTCCTCAAATGGCAGACTCTAGGCAACATTCCAAGGCTGTGGAAGCAGGAGCTATAAGGCCCTGTGAAGTGTATGTTCTAGAAGTCACACTGCAGTACATCCATTACTTTCCGATACCCTACAAGTCCCGAGGCCAGCCCAGTATCAAGGGGTGTAGAAATTGACTTACTCTCTTGATGGGATGAAGGACACAAATTTTTTTTTTTTTAGTCACATTTAATCTACCACCCCTACTCTTTCTTGAAATTCTCTTTTAGCTCCCATGAAACAATTTTCTTTCCTGGAATCCCTCCTACCTCACTGGCACTTATCCCTTTATCTTTCCTTGTATTCCTACATTCTAATTACCATTGAAGATTTAGCCCAACATCCTTATACCTTAAAAGACAATGCAAATCCTCATCTGTGAAGTCCTGCATAAACTTAGCCCTGGAGAGCATTTCTTTCTCCTGGATTTTTAATATTTTCTAGTCCCATTTTCTTCTCTACTGCCTTAGCTGAGACTCTACTGGTTTCACCTCCTTAACTAAGTTACAACATTTTGGTTTCCAGGAATGGTCTCTGCCCATTATCCTTCCTATGGAACAATATTAATATTAATATTAATTAATATTAAGCTATACAGTGTCTAGCTTAATATTGATTCCTAGCAGATGATCAAAAAGTATTCAGTGCTCAATTTGATAACTTGTGAATGAGGCCAATGCTGAATTCATTGTGTGTGGGGGGGATTAGATCATGGATAATGGTGTAAAGCACAACACACTTTGATCTGTGGATCATAGGATGTGATTTAATCTACAGTCTAATACAGCCTTTGCAAGGGAGGAGGAAGAGATATGTGGGCAGGTGAGACATTCTGGCTTTTCCACACCACTCCCTTCCCCACCACTTCAGATGTTATCTATTCAACTCTTTTTTGACCATCTATTAGGCACCAGGTACTGTATTAGGAAAGAACTGAGGATATAGGCGACAAGGAGTCCCTAGCCTCTTTCCTTCAGGAGGCAGGCAAGAAAACAGACCACTGCAAATATTTATCATTGTTGGCAAGCACAAAGGAAAATCACATATATTGGAGGATGTCATTTATAAAATATTCCTGAAAGAGATAATACCAAAGCAGAATCCTCAGGGAATGATCTGGGCAAAGAGGAGGATGTGGGAGTCAGAGGATAATCACACGCAGAGGCCAGTATACTCACTGGTGGGGTCTGAAGAGGATGGGTTCTGGGTTGGGGATTGAGAGATGAGTCCAGAGTGCAGGGTACAGAGCAGTCGGGAAGGGCCTCGTCCGTCTTCATGAAGAATTTGGATTTTATGCTGAAGGCAGTGGGGTACATTTAAAACAATAGGGCAGGGGGGAAAAGTTACCCAATTTTTAAAGGAGGACTCTGGCAAAATATAGAGATTGGAAGGGGGGCTGCTGAATGAGGGAGACCAAAGGGAGTTTGCTGAAGAAATTGGGTGGAAAACTATGGAGCTGAATGGCGTGCAAGAGATGGAATGAAAAGACTCGGAGCTGGATTGGAAAAGACGGTTGAGGAGAAAGAGAAAATTGGGATCTTTCTCGAGCCTAGAGAACTAACCCCATATACAATGGGAACAGCCACCGAAGTAAGATGAGGAGGAGAAAGAGCAGGTTTGGGAGGCCGGAGTCTGGTGGGGGTTCAGGGGCCACACTGAGTTCAGGTTGTGCATACTGACTGTGAGGTGCCTATGGGACATGTGAGTGGAAGGGAGAAAAGACCAGTGTACGTTGGAAGCTGGTCCTCAGCACATCCGTGAGTGCCTATGTAAGCCGGGGCAGATCCACATTTTGTGGAGCCTAAGCTTTTGAGGGCCCTGTTTAAGAAAAAAAAAAAAAATGCAAATTATGAATACAAAATTAGATGTGACTACGTGGGTCTTGGAAGAGGCTGTGAAGTGAGGGGCCCCGGGCTGCAGTGTCATTGGTCTTATGGTAGGTCCTCCTTGTGCACGTGCACTTTTTAACTACCTGTTTGTTAGCTGGGGGAGTGAAATTCCTTTAAAAATAAAGGGTTGTTAAAATTCTTGTGAACAACACTAACTACAAAGTTGAGGCAGGGAGAAAGCAATTATGAATGAGCTGAACGAAAAGAACGACCTACTCTATTATCACCCCTGATCACGTTCTTTTTTAAAAAGTCTAACTTGAAACTGGAATGAATGTTTCGGAATTAAGGTTAAGAAACTTTTAGATCTATTTTTCATATGGGGCTGTCGGAATCTATCAAACTGCAAACCAAGTAAAAATTTGAGGACAAAACTTAAGAAAAGCCAATCTTTCTATCTAGTAGAGCCCTGGAATAAGACCTTCCCTAGCAACCTATGATTTGGCTATCTAAAACGCAACAAAACTTACTCATTCAGAAATGGGGTGAGGAAAGAATCTGTCTAAATTAGTAACTTTGAATTATGATATGTTTTTGAACGAAACACATTTCTGTTACTTTTGAGTCATGCAGTTATTCAAATTTAAATCCAAACCTCTCGTGGTAAACTGCAAAGGAAGGGAAATCCAAAAGCTCAAATACTGGCAACCCTAGACGGGTGCTGGGTGTTGAAGAACAAGAGCAGATACGAGGTCTGATGCAGAGAATTATAAAAGATGAGGGCGCAGAATAATCCTGCAGGTGAAACTCCCAGCAGCAGTGAAGGTACCTACTAAGGTGTGTGTTGTGAGGCAGAGAGGAAATAGTTGTTTTTGGAAAATTGGCTGACTCCTATTTCTGGAGTACTATAGGATATAAATATATATATATATTTTAGATTTTATTTATTTATTTGAGAGAGAGCGAGTGAGCACAAGCAGGGGGAGGTGGCAGAGGGTGAGGGAGGAGAAGCAGGCTCCCCGCAGAGCCGGGCGATGCAGGGCTCCATCCCAGGACCCTGGGATCATGACCTGAGCTGAAGGCAGACGCTTAACGACTGAGCCACCCGGGTGCCCCCAAAGGCTTTTAAAGTGGAAATGTAAGTAGCCTGAATCGTGTTAGCTGGCTAAGGTATGTATGGAGTAGATATGTTAAACAAGGTTCCCTGGAGGGAAATGTCAGAGACAAAAATAAAAAGGAAGATAAAATACGTAATGGTATTGAGAAGTTATCCAACTAGCTAAGTACATGCGGGGCCTGCGGAAAGCCCAAGGGAGCTTGCTGGGACACGGAAGCTGAAGTGAGCTCAGAGACTGTGTTAAGGGAGGCTTCACAAATTTAGGAGTTAATGAAAAGAGCGAGTCCAATTTTGTCACCAGGGGAAGAGAGAGTCCTGACTTGCATATCCCAATG